TTCCGGTTGGATATTCAAACAAACCTGTCATGTTCAGCTCTGCTGCTTCACCGTTATGGGAGGCAAAAAAGCCTGCTGTATTTATCCAATTGAATCTTTTGCTTATTTTGCCTAGTGGCACTGTGTGGCCCTCATCAAAATACGGAAAATTTGAAAAGGTACTCTGGAAGACTTCAGAATTTGAACAGTGAGAAGTGATTTTGTTCTCAAAGAAGCATATTTCTTCAGAGAAATACACAGTTAGGCATGCTTTAAATTGGTGTAATAAGTTAAGGTGCTTTTGCAGGCATTCAAACAATTTTAATAATTACATTATATATGAAATATAAATAGTTACCTGAAAACTGTATGAATAATAAATACTGCCTGTTCTTGGTTTGCTCTGCAGATGGGATTGGCTACAAGATTACATTTTCCTGTGGAGTATTTTAGGGTGAATTGTACTAACTGTTCTTCAGAATGTCTCAGATAAGGTATTCTTACTAACACTAGAATGTTCCTTTTCTATGAGCAATTATTACCAGCTGGATTATCATTTTGACATTCTTTCATGGATTTATTAATGTTCAACAGCTGGGTTTTTTTGAAAAAAATTGTACTGCCTCCCAGTAGTTATCTCAGTTTGCTTAAAATTAACTTTCAGGTTTATTCTGACTCTAAGAAAGTTAGAAGAAAAAATATTTTTTAGAATCGGGCAGTGAAAAGAGGCATAGGAGGAGTAAAACTGGAGAAAAACCAGATATTTTATTAGAACTTTAAAGACTTCAGATTTTACAGGGATAACCTCAAACTTGTATTGTTAAGCATTTGAGATTAAGTAATGTTTTGCTCATTAATGATTGTGCAAGTATAAAACCTTGACAAACAGCTGCATTTCAAGGCGGTTACAATGTTCTGTACATAGTTTCTCAGCCCACACACAGGTCTGTCACATGAAAATGATCCATGTGAGCAGAAAATAAGCCCATAACAATTTTAAGGCTTTCCTGAGGGTACTTACTTACAACACTTCCAATTTTGAGGACAGTGAAAGAGGCAAGCAACTTGTACATTGACTGTATCTGCACTATTTCTGAAATACTTTAAAAATCTTTCTAATCATAAGGAATTCAGTAGTCTGTTCCCATATTGTTTATTCAAGAAACCCGAAGATCCTTGTGTTGCAAGGTTTATAATAATTTTTTTGGATTCTCGAAGTTCTCTGTGTAAATTGCATGGAGTTTTGTTGCAGGGTGTTTTCTCAATACAGAAATGAGCCTCACCCAGTAGTTCCGATACAGCTTTCTGATAAAGGCAAGTGTGAAGTGTTTTTAAAAAACTCTTTGATTTTGAACTGAGTAAAGAGTTTTCATTGATTTTCTTTATCCGGACCAGGCTGTGTGCATGATCAATCATAAACTGTTTTGTTTTCTAAAAAAATTCTTGATTAAAAATTGGAAGCTTCTGTGATAGAGTTTTTGGGAACTACAGTAAAGATGAACAATCAGAAGTGACTATCTTGATCAGTCATTTAATAATGTCAGTGAACTTACCTAGTTTCATGATTATTGTTTTCCAATGCAGCCTTTAACACAAGATGTTTAATTAATCTAGAGATTTAGGATACTGCAAAGAAAACTGAACATCGACTACAGTCAATGTGGATCATAGATTGGTAGTTCTAGTATGTTTGACATGGAATACTTGTCTTAGTTTTAACAGGTGCATGTTACTTTCAAGATCTGAATTTTAGTTTTCCAGGTCATGGCTTGAATCCAAAAGCTGTAGTGTTTTCTGGTTTTTTTTAGTAGGTCACTGTAGCTAACTGTAAGCTGCGTGATACAGCCAGAAATGATTTGCAACTACTTTAATCTCCATGCATGTCTTTTAGTATGTATGTACATCATCTTTCTGTTAAACCATATAAATCTCAGATCAAATTTGTGTGTAATAAAAACATTATTAAAAAACTGCAAACACTACAAAATTTCATTTTTCATGGCATTAGAAATGTTTGCTAAATGCAGACCAGATATTTATGATGCAGCAACATGCTTAGTGATATAAAGTTGAGAGAAGTAGAGACAGTGGAAGGTCTGGGTAGTCCCTTACCTACTCTACTGTAAAATCTGTGTTTTTCAGAGGAAACTGCTGTGGGATGGGTCTTCAGACTTCAGTGTAGTTAGTGTTAAGTGCTAGTATGACTGGTAGACATCTTGGCCAAAAGATATTCATAAAATTGTTACTCTATTACCTTATATAGAAGAACTTCAGATTTCTTATATGAGGAGGATTTTTTTTTTTACCCTCATAGCCTTTGGAATTTTTGCTATTTAGAAATTAAAAATTACATGGTAACCTATCCAGAGATAATCTTTTATCTATGGTATTATATTGTTTCCCAGGAGAAAGAGAACTGTTTTCTTCAAATCTTGATGCTTTGAAGCAAGCTGCAATGTAGAAAATAAATTGACTCTTATTAGCTAGAATATACTGTTGCCACAGGGTTTGATAAACTGACACATTTAAAAATTTTTACAGATCTATGCATTTACTGTTTAAACAATAGGAATTTCTTTACAGTTTTTTACTATAGACAGCTTAAATAAACCTTGTAATGTGAGCATTTTCAAAACATGTGATTTCTACCAATTTGGGTGAAAGTTTTTGAGCAGGGGAGAAACTCCAAAGGTTTCTGTACTCTAGCTTCATCATAGGTTGTCTTGACTTTTATAGTGTTCAGTGGGAGATCCTGAGTTTCTTGCTCACCCTGCTCTCCACTTGCTGAAATGAGTCCGGCTAATATTTATCACCAGATAGTGTCCCTTTAACTGAATTCTGCATTATTAAATTGCACTCTTCTGTTGGAGTGTAATGGCCTTGAATTGGCTGGAAACACTGAAAAAGAGTCTTCTGCAGGACAGTTGTTAGGAGAAAGGCAGAGAGTAATTTTAGAACACAAAAACTATGTAAAACAGTTACTATGCCAAGGGGTTGTCAGAAATGAAAACATCACGGAATGCTTGTGATTGGAAGGAACCTCGAAGATCATCTAATTCCAACCCCTCCACCAGTGGAGAGGATTCCACCCACTAGGTAAGTTGCTCAGGCCCCATCCAGCTAGCCTTTAACACTTCCAAGTATGGGATGTCCAGAACTTCTCTAGGCAACTTGATGCAGAGCCTCATTATTTGTTGAGTAAATAATTTCTATCTATCTAATTTAAATCTCTCATTTTTTGTTCAGAAGCATTGCCCTTCTCCTATCACATTCTGCCCATGTAAAAAGTCACTCTTCCCTTTTGAAAAGTCACTCTTTTTTAAAAGACCTGTTCAAGCAGTGAGAGGCCGCAGAAGTCTCCCTGGATCCTTCTCTACTCTTCTTTGAGGCTGAACAACCCCAGCACTCCCAGCCTGTCTTTATAGGAGAGATGCTCCAGCCTTCTGGTAACTTTGTGGCCTCCTCTGGACCCACTGTAACAGGTCCATGTCCTTCTTGTGCTGATGGTTCCAGAGCTGGACTCAGTATTACAGGTGGGGTGTCATGAGGGCAGAGTAGAGGGTCAAAAATCCCACCCCTTTCACTTGCTGGCTACTCCTCTTTTAATGCAGCCTAGGATGTGGTTTGCCTTCTAGGCTGGGAGTGCACATTGCTGGCTTATGACCAACTTTTCATCTCCAGGGGGCCCCATGTCCTCCTCAGGGCTGCTCTCTAATTCCTCTCCCAGTCTGTGTTCATTTCTGTGATTCTGCGCCCTGATGCAGGGGCGTTAGACTTCACGAGATTCTTGTGGGCCCAATTCTCAAGTTTGTCCTGCTCTCTCTGGATGGCAGCCTGTCCTTCCGTTGTGTCAGCTGTACTGCACAGCTTTGTGCCATCTGAAATCTTGCTGAAGCTGCACTTGATCCCACTGTCTGTCATCGTGAAGATATTGAAGACCACTAGTCTCAGATTAGACCCCTGAGGGATACCACTCGTCACCAGCCTCCACGTGGACACAGACTCATTGATCACAACTCTGGCTACATCCATCCAGCCAGTTCCTTGTCCACCAAATAGTTTACACTTCAAATCCATGTGTCTCCTCTTTGGAGATAAGGATGTAATACGGAGCTGTGTTGAAGGCTTTATAGAAGTCTAGCTAAATGACATCTGTCCTTATCCCCTTGTCAACCATTGCTGTCACTGCAGTGAAGGCCACTAGATTGTTCAGCACCTCTGCGTAAATCTCTTTTGGGAAGCAAGCAAGCAAGCAGCAGTTCTGGTTAAATATGCCTTTCCCAAGGGTTCTGCCCATTTCATCTAAAGAATAAGATTTCATTAATCTCATCCGGGATCAAATCTTTTGATCTTGAATGGCAGTGGTTCCACAATATCAGGAGTTTGCTAATTCTTTCTGGAATTACTTGTTGACCAGTAGAATAGTTCCTCAGTCTGCAGACTCTGTTTGCAGACACAAGCATAGAATCAGTTGGTCAGGCAATCAGCAGAAAACAGTTGGGCAGATGACATAAGCAGCTCCTTATTTTCTCATACTTTGGCATTTTCAAATATAAAAATAGTTGCTCTTCTGATTATGTACATTGTCATAGCTTTGTGGAAACAGTGCTGTGATCTTAATAAAGTGGATGTGTCTTGTTATCACTTGTGGAGGAGGCAGGGAGAGGTAAACAGTTTGTCACCCTGTTGTGGAAGGGCTGTGAATAATGCTCGAGGATGAGAAAACCTAAAGGCATGTTGAGGGTAAGAGCAGTGCAGAGCAATATCAAGAATAGGGCTAGTAATTCTTTTCAGTTGGCAAGTGTTCAAGGGAACAAACTCTTTCAAGTTCCCTAGAGATATTTAATTGTTTTTTAGTACAAAACAATTTCTCCACTCTTGTTTGGCTTATTGTTGCTCCCAAGGGCTTGGTTAGTAGGTCGTGTTGAAAAGTGGTAATGCTCAAAACATGTTTGTAAGAGGTATTTGCACATGTAATGAACTGGATGTGTACAACCACTACATTTGTTTTTCTTTCTTAGCAACAAGGTATTGGTCGGCCGAGTGTATACCATGCAGCGGGGGTCATATTTCTAGAATTCTTCGCCTGGGGGCTCTTGACAACTCCAATGCTAACGGTAAGTGTCATTCATCAGCTGTTATCTTGGTATTGGCAAATATTAATTAGCTAATTTCTAGGGATTTGGGATTTAATTTGCTTTACATTAATGTGTATCTCATTACCTGAATTCCAGAAGTCTTAGTAGCTGAGATCTGGTCTGCTGAAATACTAGAAGATAAGGAAAAATGAATTAATTCTGCTGTACTGCTCTTTAACTCTTATTTGTCTTTTAGACTAACACTGGTTTAGTCTACTGATTAAAGTATCTCTGGAAATTCTGGCTTTTTCAAGACTTCATAGTTCAATTAATCTTCCAGTTGTAACAATTGAATAAACTATGCAACCCTTCATTAACTATGTATACTCCTGTGGGCTGATGGTATTGTCAGCATGTAACTTAGAGTAAAATGCAAAAGCATTCATGTAAGAAATAGAGTTCTTAAGTATTTAATCTGTTCTGGTTATTTTCCAGATGAACAGATAATTTGAGTGTTTGGTAATAGGATATGAAGCATTTGATTTGAAGACATGGGTCTCGTTCATTTTACTAGCAATCGCAGGAGGTGTGCTGGTCCAGGCTTTCATTGCCTAGTACTTGAGACCACTTTGAATACATCACAAGCAAAGTTTTGTGTGATTGAAAGAGTTAACTTTTTTCCTTCTCCAAACTCCAAATAAGATAATGTACATAACTCTTGGAATGTTTTTGCCTAACTTTTCTAAAGACAATCGCTGAACTTCTTATCATAACTTAGTAATAAAAAAATTCACATAAACAGTTAACGCATTTCCATAAAGTAGTTGTCTCACAAAATGGCTATCCTGTCATCCTGTCAAGCTGGTCTCAAAATATGGGCAAGTTTATTAGGTGGTCTATTTTATCTTTTCTTTTTCTTTGCATTTTTTTCTCAACCAAAGTGCTCAATTTCAACTTGCCCAAATTTAACACTTCTCATTTAAAAGGACAAATGCTCAGATCCTAATTCTTACAGACCTACAAACGCCCTCCAATTTTAATAAAACTGTGTATTAAGTTGCCCAGTAGTATACTCCAGTTGGAATTGATTCATAGTTGAGGGAGATCATCTTTATTTGTAATCAGCTTTGCAAATACTGAGTGGCTGCTGTTGCTTTTATATAATTTCAAGTCTGGTTTGATAATTTGCACCTGTCTTGTGATGTAGCTGTGGTAGCTTACCTTGGCCTGCTTATGAAGCAGCAGTACTAGATGTTGTGTAGAGATATCTTACAAGCAAGGTGCAGCCTTTGAACTGACAGCTGCACACTTCTGGTCAAGCAAGTTTGTCAGGTAGGAAGGGCAGAAATGGAAATGTCTGACCTGTTGATCAGACCTTATGATTACTCAATTTTTCGTGGGTTTTTTTGTGGCTCTGTAGGTCATTGTCAACTTTCAATCTAATTAAAGTGTTGCATACTATGAACATAAATTGTGGTAGCTGAGATAATTTAAAGTTCATTTTTAAATTGCTTTTTCACTTCTTTTGACATCTGTCAGCAAAGCTGTAGTGTTTGTTACATGACACTATACTTGCAGAAGAAAAAATTTAAACAGAGGCTATTCTAGTCAAAGACTGCCCAAAGCTTATGGACATTTTTTTAAAATATGGACTTGTAACCAGTGTTAGTAATTCACCATAAGCAATATTGATTACTTAATGACATGTTCTCTCTTCAATATATATATTATGAATATATATCTATTGGTAGAACTTTAGTAAAGCAGTTCCCTCTACCAGTTTGTCAACTTGCATTTCTCTTGTCTATAAAGTAACAAATTAGTATCAAAAAACTTGAACTTAATATCAGCAGGAAAAAATACTAGAAAACAATTCACAGGTAATTAGACTTGCCTCTGAGTTGCCTATTTTTATTTATTTTGTTTTGCTTTTTTTAAACTTAGAAGACATCTACTTTTAGATCTGTAATTTAAATCCTGACCTTTTTTTTCTCAATTAATATCATAAGATCAGTGTTATAACAGGTGAAAAATAGTTTTACATACCTAACCAAAAGATGATACCAGAAGGGAGAAGTGATATAAATAGGAAAATTATCACCCAGTAATTAGTAAGAGAACCACCACTTTGATTAAACATACGATTTGAGAATCTCAGTCTTCCTAGAAGAATACTGCTGATACTTTTCAGTGACACTTTCTCAGTATACATATAAGTAATTTTTGTAATTGGTGACACTTATCTATAAATATCAGGAGCAAATGAATGTGAATTTTGTTTGAATGTGAATTTTTGTGCATATATGCTTTGAACATAACAATAATTTTTTTTAAGTCAACATGGTAGCATCTGTGAGGCCCCTTAACTCTCTTGCATATTTATGGTAAATCTGTTTAGCATAGATTAACATTCTTGCCCTTGAATTAAGACTACTGGTAAAGCACCTAGCATGAATTCGTAGCTGTATTTAAACTCTCAGAACTCTTGCTGGTATTTATAAGCATCTACTTATTAATTGGAAGTGTTTCTAACTGTATGGCTATTTAATAGCTGCTGTTGTGTTCAATTGTGAATATAGCACTGTTTCTCCTTGTCAGTGTAAGTTAGCTGAATATAATTTTCACTCTTAAATATTGACAGTGTTTGAGTTAACCTTTTTAAGGGATTAACTACATAAAAATTTTGTGATTTGTACTGTATGGAGATGGGTTTTGCGTACATTGATGCTCTTTCTGAGTAAAGTGTCCCAAACCAACTATCTCTGCATTACAGTCTTTGCCAGCAAAGGAATTTATGCCAATAAATTGATATTAAATTTATTTACATTTTATTATGAAGACAAAAATAGGTAGAAGGTAGTTTTTTCTGGTTGTTCCAGATTTTTTTTTTATTCTTTTAGTTTTTATTTTGGGATGGGATACTTGTTTTAAAACAAGTTCTCATAGAGCTATCCTGGCTTACAAATCAAAGTTAAACTTGTTCCTGTCTCTCCTTACTAAAATAGTGCTTTTTCCCTCCACCAGGTCTTACATGAAACATTTCCCCATCATACATTTTTAATGAATGGTCTTATTCAAGGTGTTAAGGTAAGATGTTTTTTTAAACTTCTAACCTAAATATTCCGTGTGTTCTCATATCTTGACTTGTCTCATCTGCGTTTTCCGTAAGAACATATAAAACACTGAGAATGTAGTTAATTCTTAAACCATTTTTTCAGTGTAGTGATTATTTCTTGGGCTGAATTAAAATTCTACTGCAGAAGTGGCAGCATCTTGGGACAAATGGAATGCTTCTCAGAAACTTAAAATCTTTTCATTTGAATAGGTATCACTTGTAGCTATTGTAATTTTGATAAGGATCTGTCTGAGAATAAAGCTAGGTTTTTATTGTCTGCTTCTACTAAATGATTTATATCAGAGGCAAATTAATGCAATTATGATGATACCATTGAGATAGAAAATGAAGCACTTAATCATCGTGATTTTGTCTTAAAATGTGGCATAAGAGCTAATTTTCATCAGGTTTCTTTTATTTCCTGGTCCTGTTTTTTTAATCAACTCTTGAACATTCTGTGATATTCAAGGTGTTCAGGGCAGCTTATAGCTTACTTAGTACAACAGTTATCAAAGACAAGGCTTTACATTAGCTATGCTAGAAAACTCTTGCAAGGCTTTTCGTGGCCACAGTGCAGAATAACCACTGTGTGAATGCAGTCGTCAGAGAGGCTGCAAAGCCCTTGCTGTAACTTACGACTAAGATAATTTATAGCACTCAGAAATTATTTTTCTTTATGTCCCGCAACAAATCTAAAACATATTGCTTTTAGTTGTAAGAATGTAACATCTTTAGGACCAGCTTGCTGTCGTGCTGTCTCTCACAGTGGATTGGCAGAACACAGTGCACTCGGGATGGTTGGTTTGTCTCAGACTGAAAGAGGAAGTTATCTTTTCATTGTTCTCATAGAAAAACAAAGTTCATGTTCCTCTTCCTATTTTAAGTTTTTCACTCACAGTGCAATGTAACCGTTAAAAGTAGTAAATAGAGGGTTTCCCAAAGATTTTGTACCGAGTATATCTGTAAAAAAGTGCAGTAATGTAATGGATGTTTGGATTACTCCAACAGGTCTAATAAATGGGGATCAAAGACTAGAGAGAGCTTGTACTTCTTGCCTTTTTCTTTACAATTTTGTTTGTGAAACATAGGGAGTGTTTTTGATAGAATATGTTAGTTCATATGGCACTGAAATCCGATTCTAAGGAACAGGAACACTAATTTCAACTGAGTGAGACATCTCTTCCTGAGGATCTCATCGTCTGGCCTTACAGCTTTTGCTCTCCATCTGCTTATTGAAAATCGGGTTGGTTTGTAAGGATTTGGCAGAACAGTTACTTACTACAGCAATCTGTACGTATATGTGGAACTTGTGACTGTATTTGAATTAGAGAGGTAAGCTAAAGTCAGCCAGAGGAGACTTCCAGGGTATTAAGGTGCTTACAGAGCCATGCATTTACTGATGTTTGAACTTAGAGCACAATTAGATTGATAAATGAAGAATGTAATAATTAGGAGGAACTGTTCCCCAGTTAACAAACCTGTGAAATCCTTTTAATTCTGCTGTGTAATAAAATGGATTTGAGGCCAAGATGCTAGGACTTCATGAAATTCTGGAAAATCTAGTATTTGATCCTTAGTCAGTTTTTTTCTGTTTGTACTGCACATATGAGTCTGACCTTTGTCACGGGAATCTCATCATGATGTCCCATGACCTCAAGTTGCCAGGATTGCTCAAGAGATCTTCATAGTTTGTGCACTTCACAGATGTACTGTACAGGATAAATATGTAGTATAAAGCAGAAAGTATTTAATTTAAACTGCTAAATTTGCTTCAGAGAGAAGTTGCCCAAAGTTATCTTCTAGGACAGTCCAAATTAGAGGGCAACTTGGGTTTGAAATCTAGCATTGTGCCTCTTGATAGAGGCTAAGATAATGTCCTTTTTGGAACTAGACTGTATTTTGGAGATTTTAAAGAATGTTACGTCTCTATTGAATCAAATGGACCTTGAAAAAATGTATGCTCTCTCTCTTTTTTTTTTTTTTAATCCACTTGGGTTTAATAGATTTGAAACATAAAATATCAGAATTACAGAAAACTAGACTGTAGAACAAATGGTGTAAATTTTCAGTTATCTACCACTTCTGGATTTAGTTTCAAATCAGTTTTCAATTTTATTCCTTTCTTATATTGTAGTTAAAATGAGCCTTGGAAATGTAGATACACACGTATTAATTGTTCTTCTTCTGTCACAGGGTTTTTTGTCATTTCTCAGTGCTCCACTAATAGGTGCTCTCTCAGATGCTTGGGGAAGAAAATCTTTTCTTCTTCTTACAGTTTTCTTCACCTGTGTCCCAATTCCCTTAATGCGAATAAGCCCATGGTAAGTGGTACAAACCGCAGTTGCAAGCTTGTCAGGAGAGCAGATATTCAGAGGAGATGTTTGGGGAAATGGGGGAGAGACAATAAGACAAGAAGAAAGCAGCTTTCCTTTCAAGACATGATTGCATTATTCTGGAGCTTTTCTGTTCACAATGTATTCAGACTGTGTATCCTAAGAGTAGAAATAATAGAATGTGAACAACATTCATACAAGTAAAGCAGTTCCTGCAAGGATTTGATAATCTTGTCTGACTCTGTTTTAAGATCAGCTGTTAATTTTTTCCCTTGATGACTGACAGTAATAAACATGTTTTTAAAGCTAAATGAACCTTAGCATTTATTTGCTAAAGAAAAGTATAATTGTTGCAAGTGAGATCTTCTACCTCTTTGATTAGGATTTTAAAACCAAGTCAATACTGCTCAGTTAAGACTTCAGTTGCATTTACATAATTGTGAAACTTGGAAGAGTTACCAAAGAACTTTCACTCTTAATGCATTCAGAGTTCAGCTTCCACAGCATTATATATATAATAGCTTATTCCTTAACTGGCTGATGAAATGACTTCTAAGATAATTCATTTTTCATAACTTGAACTTGAGAGTGTAAAAATCTATAGGTACCATATCCTCAAGGGACCACTTCTTTTAGACTGATGTAAAGTAAACAGAAGTATATAAAAAATTAAAATGCTGTTTTCCAATATTTAAGTGGGACTGCACAGTCATTGATTCAATTCCAGTTAAGTTCTCTGTTAGTTCTCAAGGAACCCTCCTCTTAGGCTTAAACACAAACTTGCTTATTGTAAGATAAAACGCAAGGGATCTTAGCTCAGACTTTCTAATTGTTGCTTTTAAATTATTAGGTGGTACTTCGCTCTGATTTCAGTATCTGGAATCTTTTCTGTTACCTTTTCTGTAATATTTGCCTATGTAGCTGATGTAACACAAGAACATCAAAGAACTGCAGCCTATGGACTGGTAAGATATGCTCATCTTGGGGGAAAAGGTCAGATTATGACCTTCATATTGAATTTGTGTTTTGATGTACAGGCTGTTTCCTGATTCATGTAAAAAGGTGGATAAAGGAATGAACCATGGCTCAAGACACTGTGTTAAGAGTTCAGGCAGTGGACAGAGTGTTGCATGCTTACGGGAACAGAATTAATATTTGACAACTTGCATAGAAGGCATGTGTAAGAAAGAATGTCTTTTAAGTTTTACAAACAAAACATTAAATGTTAACAATGCTTAAACAGGCCACTGAGAACAGAGGCTAGACAGTGTTGAAGGAATAAACTGTGTATTTATTAAAAGGCCTCCAAAGGATACACCTTGGGCAGTAAAGAGCCCGGCTGTGGCTCCACCCAAAATGCACCCAAGGGGGACGACTGGTCAGGAATTTTCACACTTTTATAAGTTTTGGTCCATTTACATATTGGGGTTAATAGTTCAATTATGGCTCCAGGTTATGAATTCCCATCCTCCCAGACTGCTCTCCTCAGTTCGCTGCTGTTTATACTTTTTGGCCCCGAAGTGGCAACAGTGCCCTTGGTTCTCAGGCTGGAAAAGGATTGTTTTTTCTAACTAAACTGTGAGGAGAACTTACTAACACTTTATATGAAATTCAGGGTTGCATACGAATGCAGTACAGAATCTGGAAAATATAAAAGCTAGAACTTAAGGCATCATTTAAGACAATGCAAGTAAATTTAATCTAGCAATAGTTTTCCATCACCTGTAAGTTGCACTTCTAGTTCATATGAGTTCTTTGTGGTATAGAATGTGCTTTTCTAATGTCAGAATGGTGAGTACGGATGAAAATGCATAAGCCAGTATTTTTAACAACTTAGACATGACCTTTCTTAATGATCAAAAGACAAGGAAAATAATTCAGTTAGTACAAAACAGTCCTTTCGGTAGTAATATAATTCCTGCTTAGTTTGCTTTCCTAATATTACTTTATGTTTTGGAGGTCTATTAATAGATGTCCTTAGCTTTTGAACTTCTTTTAGGCAGACATTTAAATGTACTGACAACTTTTTCAGTCAAATCACTTCAAATTCATAATTAGAAAACAAAACAAAGATTTTAGTCTATTTGAAAGTAAGAGCCATTTTTCTTTGAGCCAAACCTGATCTTGGAGTGCAAATCCTGTGTAGTATGGTGTGCTGTTGAGGATGCTGTAGAAACTGTATTTGGGACCCATATTTACTGTTGTAAATGGTGTGTGGTTTATGTACTTTTTTGTTTGTTTTGAATTTTTTTACTTGAATTTCTACTGGTCTGTTTTTCAAATCACACTTCTAGGGAGTGGTGGTGAGCAAGTTACTTCATTTTTCTGTAATGGGAGAACTACCACTTGGATGAGTTTGTAAACTGTTGTTGTGCACAGGTATCTGCCACCTTTGCGGCAAGTTTGGTAACTAGTCCTGCCATTGGAGCGTCCCTGTCTGCCAGCTACGGGGATAGTCTGGTTGTACTGGTGGCCACACTGGTGGCTGTTGTGGACATCTGCTTCATCCTGCTAGCTGTACCAGAATCTCTACCGGAAAAAATAAGACCTGCTTCGTGGGGATCTTCTATATCATGGGAGCAGGCAGATCCTTTTGCAGTAAGATGTGCTTCAATAAGTAATTATTAAATATTTGGTCATTAATAAGTAATTATTATTGGTTGCAGTTTGTAAGCTTGAGAAGTCTTCAGTCTTACTGATAGCTTGAGTGTTCAGTATACCACAGTCTCTATTGTCTGCTCTTGCCCATAAAGATCTAACTACATTTAAAAAACAAAATAAAACCAAACTTTGTGGATTAAATAATTCTAGATTTGAAAACAATGTTTGGTATGAAATCCAACGGGACAATACTTTAATTTTCTAATTTTGGTACTCTGTTATTGCAAAGAGAAATGCTGAATTCTTATGCCTCAAAAGCCAGTATTTTAAGGTTTTAAATACTCACTTCTTAATTGTACTTTTGGCATTATCTCTCCCAACTCTTGATTTCCACTTTTGGTTATATGTGCTTTCTTTCTAATAGAGAATGGATCTATAATGCCTGATTTTTTTTTTTTTTAATAAGTTTATATAGGAAGGGCTAAAACATACTGTGCACTCTTTGTAGAAACTTGTTCACTTACTCTGTTAATTGATACCTTAAGAAAGGAAGGAGTGATTTTTCTTCATTATATCTTCTGGGAACTGGTTGTGAATATTGAGAGATGAATGGCATTCTTGAAAGACTGCAGTTACAGAATTAGTTTTCCACAATTTATTTGTTCCTTAAAGCGATTAATAAAGTCGGTGAACAAGTGTAAGAAATGTATATTATTTGCTAGTATCTTTCAAAACAAATTATTATTATGGAGATCCAATAGAAGACATTAGGTATTTCCTTTAGAATTGTATGATGCTGTTTTTAGGGAATAGTTTTGACTTGGCACTGAACAGTAGCTTCAAAATCTTAATGGAAACTTCACTAAGGAATTGAGTTCTCCAAACTGTATATAATGAGATTGTTTGTCACTTAAGGTGAAACTTAACAGTATCCATGTATAACTGTTTTGATATGTATGCATGCACAAAATGAGGGAATTTACCTTCTTTACGTTTTCATTAGAGTTTGTACAAATGTTTCAATACCTGCTTTGTTCTCTTGTTTTACAGTCTCTGAAGAAGGTTAGAAAAGATCCTACAGTTCTCCCAATCTGCATTACAGTGTTGCTCTCATATCTGCCTGAGGCTGGCCAGTATTCTAGTTTCTTTCTGTACTTGAGACAGGTAAATGTTGGTTTCTTCACATCTTACTAAGGATGTTTAAATAAGTATTCCCTGTGATTTCTTTCTTGCTATAGACTTTGCTAAGAGACCTGCTTTCTGACAAAGTAAAGCTTTGAAATTAAAGGCATGGTGCTTTGCTAAGCGAAGAACTGAGAAACACTTAACTCTTGATGCATAAACCTTGCAATATCTTAAGCACAGGTTTGCCTTAAGCAGGCCTTTGTTCTCATTCAGCGCAGCAGTTTCTGGGTCTGTCTTAAGGTGGGATTTTGCCTGTCAAAGACCGGTTTGTGGGAGGGATAGAGAACTTCAGTTTCTAGATCCATGACTTCCTCTGTGTCCGTTCTTTAAGGCAGTTTTTTTCTTATTTGATTTCCTTTTTCTTCCTTTTTTTTCCTTTTCCTGGCAAAGAGTCAAGTTAGGGATTACACTTGAAAGTGGACACTTCCTGTGTGGATCCTGTATAAATCTAGAGTATAAGCAGAGATTAGTGTTTTCATTGAGAAGATCCTCACTGTTAATAATTGTCTTGGATTGTGTTTGGCATTTGTTTTACACAATTTCTGCTTCCCAACAGATTATAGGCTTTGGATCTGCTAGCATTGTGGCATTTATAGCTGTGGTGGGCATTCTGTCCATAATAGCTCAGGTAAGCTTTGTTCTTTATAGTGCTTCATTTAAGCTTATCTAAAAACTTTCTACATGCTCTAATATGCCAGTATATCTTGCATTCACTGAATGTTGTATTCAGGATACACTCCATGTAAATTTCTGGCTTTGTATCAGGTTTCCTTAGAAATACTGGATCTGGACATCAGAAAAATAAAATTTGCTATACTTGGATCAGTAAATTCATTGGAACTCTGACTTAAAATCATTAAAATTATGCAGGAAATTTGTTACCAAATGCAAGGCATTCTGAAAGGGAAATGCCTTACTTTAAAAGTCACACTACTTGCATGTATTCAATTGGATTGTGTTATCAAACTTGCATACAAGCAGTCTTGCCAGGGTTACTTAGGCTAAGCTTGGAGGCTGAGGAGCCTTGGTGAGGCCTTGGTATTTTCGTGCCATATTTGGCAACAGTGAGTTGATTTTTCAACAAATCCTTTGTCTTTTGTAAATCAAAGAGTTTTTATGGTGTGATCTTTGGTATCATTATGGATACAGTTTGTCTTCCTGTTGGGGTAACAGGAAGAGGAATGGCATACAGAGTATATTGTAACCTTGCTGCCATTCTTAGCAGAATGAAGATCTTACTGTTTTGATGTAAACAACACATTCATCAATGTTTACCAGTTTTACTGGTGTCAGTTGTAGTCTTCATCAGCACTTCAAGTTGTTATTTTCATCTTTGTGCTGTGGTTTGTTCTGAGGCTATTGTGTTCACTCACATTTGCCAGTCATACTTCATGCAGACTAGTATTTTTGCTAAAAATCTCTAAGAGGGCATCCCTTCTCATTTGTAATTTTCAATTTAAAATGAGGAAAATCTATTGATTTTTGGGCTCTTTGAAGAGTACAGCTACCTGAAATAATCTTTGCTTATTGACATAATCTTTGATTCTTAAGTACTGATTTGTGTTGGCATGTTAGATATCTCCAGAATGAACTGAACACATGAAGGTAGAATTACTGTATTTTTTTAATATAGCATTCAAACTGAAAGTGAGAAACAAGAAAGGGTGAGCAGTTGTCCTTGGCTGGATGCCAAGTGCCTGCCAAGCTGCTCCAGCACTCCCCTTTCTAGACAGACAGGGAAGAAAAATTAAGGTTAAAAATAACTCTTAAGTGGAGATAAGGCAGTTTATTAAAGCAAAAGTTTAGGCATGCACAAAGAGAGGGGGAAAAAAAAGGTTTATTTTCTACTTCCCATCAGCTAGCAGTGTTGAGCCACTTCCCGTGAAGCAGGCCTTCTGCACACATAGCAAGTGCTCTGGAAGGCAAATATCGTAAATAACAAATGTCCCATTCCTCCTCCTTTCCTTAGCTTCAATATCTGAGCTGGTATCATCTGGGAGGAGTTATCACTTCGGTCACTTTGGGTCAGCTGGCCAAGTTTTGGCCCCTCTCAGGATCTTACTCATTCCCAGTCTACCGATGTGGTGGGAATGTTGAGACAGCACTGATGCTCTGCCAGGGCTGCTCAGCAGTTGCCAAAGCACTGGTGTGTTAACAACACCTTCCCAGCTACCCAGAGACCTCTGAGAGCTGCTGTGGGAAAATTAACTTCATCTCAGCCAGACGCAATGCAATCAGGAAGAGAGATAAGACAAGAGAGGAAGTGTATTCTGCTTGGCAGTCCTGGTTCCTTTTCTCTGTATTTTTACTGAAGCATTACTGAGTTTCTCCTATTAAAGAAAAATGTGTGTCCATTAACTGAGTTAAGTTGTCCATGTGGACTTTGCTTTACTAGGAAGTGTCTGCGTCTTGCCATGAGTTTCTTCTGGTTGTATCTGAATTGGGATCTCCATCCCCCCCAGCAGTAACACTTCTAACAAATACAAATACTGATCTTTGGTTAGGATTAGCTTCCATGTGCAAATGAAAAGGCCCTATCAGTGGTGTAAATAGTCAGTAGAAGATGTAATTAATGGTGCCTAGGCATTGGCCGAATTTTGGTGTATGTGATAAAGATGACAAAACAGCAGGATTTACTTTTAAGTTTAAATGTAAATTTGCAAAATAATTCAGCTGACCTAAGGAGTTTACTTTCTTCTAAGCTAACAGTCTCTTTTCTCTAGTATTTGTAGATACTGATAAATTCAAGTCATGTCCAGCCTGCACTGTCTTTGCTTGGTAACAGCTTTTATTTTGTGGAGTGCTCTAATCTGTAATAAAATAGGTTTGTAGAGGTGAAAATGAAAGCCTGTTTGCATTGAAAATAGACACTGTCACCTAATGTACATAGAGAAGGCAATACATATGCTTCTCGATGTCCCAAAGTAGTAACCTTGTAAGAGTTAAGAATATCTGTACATTAAATGTTGAAATCACTTATCTGTATTTCGAGCTTAATACGGGAGAAGTAAGAGGACAAATTATATTAATTTCCTCATCATTTGAAACGTCTTCTGAATTACTGTGCATGGGAGAAATTACTTTAGCAAGTCTGACTTTTTGAAACAACTTTTGGTTAAAACAATTTCTCTTGCAGACTGTGTTTCTCAGTATCTTGATGAGATCTATAGGGAACAAAAACACAGTTCTCCTTGGCCTTGGCTTGCAGATCTTTCAGCTGACTTGGTATGGTTTTGGATCTCAGTCTTGGTAAGCATACATTTTGGTATGTACATGCTAGTTAACGAACCAAAAAGTCTTTTTTCCCAAGAAATTCTACTATTTAATTCAGTTGTCATGGGTATTTAAGTGTTTTAAGCATTCTCATTTTCATTAAGCATTACACTTCCAAAATTTGGTCTGTATTTTGCATATGCAGAAACAATAGAATTTCCTGTACATACAGCCTTTTTGAAAAGGGAGTCTTTGCAACATTTTGTTCCACTGAGTATTAAGTCTATGAGTGTTAAAACTGTTTCTTAAACTCACAAGCTAATAAGTAGCGTGTTCTCTCTAGTAATTCCACTATATCTATTTTATCCATTAAGTATTGGACCTATACTTGTTTTTGTTTGTCTAACATGTTCTCTTACTCCAACTATAATTAGTTTTAGAAACTGTCTAGAGTTTCTTCTCTTGGAAAAACTGTCTTTATAGGTAGAGACAATTAGAACCATAAGATAGAACTACTTCTTTACGAAGTGTGTTCTACTGAGAGGGATGAGTGCTTGTTGTTTATCAAAGTACTTCCTTTTCAGTTGTAGAAGCTGGAGAATTGCATCACCCTGGGAAATTGTTCCTTTGTATGGTGTTTGGAGAGAAAGGCCCACTTCACTCCCATTCCTCTCTTTTTCTCTGCTAGGATAGAATCAAATAAAATGTGCTTCTGTTCTAACAAGTTCAGAATAATATATGGGAGCAGAGCAGGAAGATAACCAGACAATTTCCAGTCTTTAGGTATTTTAATAAGAACATTTTGAAATGGAATTCAGTGTTAAATAAGGGTGCTCTTGTGGTCCTATTGGGAGTGTGGGGAGTACTTGTAAGGTAGTCTCAGTTCTAATTCGAATTATGTATTTAACACAGGATGATGTGGGCAGCGGGAGCTGTAGCAGCGATGTCAAGCATTACATTCCCAGCAATTAGTGCTCTGGTTTCACGAAATGCAGAGGCAGATCAACAAGGTGAGGATTGGATCAATTGCATCAGACTGCTTTTTTGTCTAGAAAGCAGAAGAGTTATCTAGGTGTACTTCTCAAGTTACCTTTGTAAGTCTTCACTTGGTAGTACCTGTGGTAGTCTGCCAGTCTATGTAGACAGGAAGGAAGTGCATCAATTTATCATATTTGCATTGTAAAACAATCTCTGATGAGCTGCTTCTTTTCTTTCTTTCTGTAGAGGTACTACAAAGGCAACGAAAACTTCCTCTTTTTTTCTCTTCCTTTTATTATATGCAGTATTCCCTAAGTAGACAAGGAAGATGATCGTAACAATACTACCTTTTTAATTGCACATTTTTCAAGATTGAAATAGATGTAGGAAAGAAGCTTTATTTTTTGTAGAAAAGTTGGCCCTGTTTGATACAATAATTCACATTTTCAAGGGGTAGAAAAGGTTGCCAAAGTAGCCAGTTAATCAGAGAAAATAAAAAAAATTACTGGTTTTGATGTGAATATCAGCATACAATCAGAAATTACTCCTCCTTTAAAGTGAAATGAGAAGTTATCACAAACTAAAACACTAATAAAAAGAACTGAATTTAGTATTCTCTTAAAAGAAAATGCCGTGCATATAAATTTTAAGTATCAATTTTACTTTAGTATTGGACAACATGAAGTTAGGTAAATTCAGTTAATCTGAGAAATACAAAGGAGAGGCTGTTCCAGGAGGTGGATTTCTGTTGAAAGATGCAAAATATAGTGTTTTACATGGGTTTCTGTAATTATACCCTTCTCCCCAATTTTTTTGAGACATTTTAAAGATTTTTTAAAGACTTGTTTTCTATTTACATCAGCTGACAGAAGGCATTGAGCTTTGAGTTTTGCATAGAGGAAACTGGTGTTAATAGCCAAGACTTTCAAGACTGTGGTTTTGCCACCTAGTGGCATGAAGATTTTAAACTTTCATATCATCAATCTATGAAGTAAAAGCTTGGACAGCTATGTTTTTTGCATGTTTTCTTTTTCTCCCATTTTACAAGTTGCTGCCTTAAGAACAAAGCAGATTATTAATACTGTAAAATAGCATTTTTAGACTCTTACTATGTGAAGTTAATATCATCAAAACACTTTTTGCATTGTTGTCACAATCACTTAATGAAGTCAAAACAGAAATATACCTACAGCACTTTGATTAATCAAGCTTTAAAACTAATCCAATGTAAAACTGCAGCCAGTGAAGTATTGTGAATTTACTGCTGTACACTTAATTTACTGCCCTGATTAAATTCCTTGGTATTTAAATAAATACTGGTCACAGTTTGTGCATATTTTCCCAATCAGAGTTCTTAACATTTAGGTATATTATTCTAAATATCCCTTGAAAATAAATTGAATGGGAACATTTAAACTCTGCTGTTTTCACTATCTTCATTGTAGGCTTTGGATGAGAGTGGAAGAACTCTAATATAAAAAATTAAACCTGCACATAAATTTTTTTATCATAATAATGAAATATTGTACAATAATAAAAATAATAATTCTTCCAGTAATCTGCAATATAGTGACAGAACTATGATAATGCAGAGGATTATTTTAATCTGACAGGTTTGTCTTCAGTGTATTTCTTATATCTTAGAATGTAGTAATAATTATGGTATGCTCTATTTTGGAACAATCATTAGAATACACTCAGAGCTTGTGGCTCTGAGCATTTCTTCCTCGCTTAAAAAAAACCTACTTTTTTTTTTCCTCATTAGGTGTTGTCCAAGGAATAATAACTGGAGTAAGAGGACTGTGCAGTGGCCTGGGACCAGCACTGTATGGCTTTATTTTCTTTCTCTTCCATGTGGAACTCAATGAATTGCTACCTGATAACACTACTGAAAAAAAAACAAAGCAGAATCCCAGTGATAAGGTTAGTACAAAATTTGGTGTGCATGCAGCTTGCTGTGTAGAGCTCATAGAGCCAGAATTCTGTCTTTTTGGTTGATTTAAAATGTTCATATCTTATTCTTTAACTACTTAATTCTCACTTTTCAGTTTTATTAAATTATTAAGATAGCTCCTAATTTAAATGTGATAGTAAATATTTAGATTTACAGTAGTAGCAGCATTAATTTCAGTATTATAACAATATCAAGTAACTTGATGTAAATTTACTGGAACTAAAGTTTGAGTGAGGTTACATCATTACAATTATCCACAGGAACCCCTTAGAGCAAACAGTGGAGTTATAGGCTGTGTTGGAGGCTAATAATAACTCTTGGCAATGCAATGACAAAGGACAACTTTTGAAAGATTTTTACTCCTCTCAGTGAAACCACAATCATGGAATACTCAAAAGCTGCTCAGATGAATTAGCTGTTATACTGCAAATGAAAGTGTATTAATTTGTGAAAGTTCATTCCTTCTTTAGTATTTGTGTGCATAACACCTCTGTTTTTGATATGTTAATATACTTTATATGTATGGACCATTAGCTGAAAAATCAGGCCTCTGATTGTAACAAGATTTGAGGCAAGGAAACTACCCTGTTACTGTATACTTACATTCAGCTACTTTTCCACTTCATTAGAGAATAGCTTCCACATTTCATTTGGTAGAAAAAATGTTCACTGGATTGACAAGTTTCATCTTCTGTTTTATCTAATTTTAGTTTACACAGATACAGAAGAGTTGTTAAAGATTAAAAAAAAAAGCTGGATTATTAACACTTCTTTTGTAGAACTTTGTCATCAAACTTGGCTGATTTAAAATTTATCTTAAAACCTTTCTGGTGTTTGTTTTTAGCTGGGGCTATGAAATGTGGGTAAGTTTTGATTTTGAACTTTGCAATAAACTGCTTAGAAGCAAGAGAGAATAGTCGAAACGCTAAGTTACTATATATGAATAACATGTCTCTGCAATGAGAATGGTCTCACTGTTATTTTGCTCACCCATATATTGTTTTTTTGGGATGCTTCCTTATTTGGCTAGCTTGATTCTAGAGTATCTCACCCGTGGAAAAGTAAAGCTAAGATTTATTGAGTATTTGTATGTCTGGGTGTTGAAACCTTATTCTATTAATGTTCAGAGCAGTCTTGTTGATTTAACAGTCATGTTGCCTAAAGCAAAAAAAAAAGTTACAAAAAAGCATCAAGTCAACTCTGTTTCATTTGCTAAGCAATCATACTATCAATTGACAATTTTATCTGTTTTTGGTTTTTAGATCAGTGTGGAGATCGGGTAAGGAATTTGTGGGGATTTTAGATGAAGACAATTCACTTTACAGTGCACACATGAACCTATTTGCAAAAATTTTATAGTCCCCATAAATATGTCTTTCATGATCTCCCGCATGTGGTGTAGTTCATAATGCAGAAATCAATGCCTGAAACGTGAATTCTTTATTATGCTTGTTTTCCTGTAGATCATTCCTGGTCCCCCCTTCCTGGTTGGAGCATGCATTGTTTTTCTGGCACTTCTAGTTGCCTTATTTATTCCTGAGAGCAGCAAAGCCAGCAGTACCAAAAAACACAGCAACAGCATCAGCAGCAGTCTGGGTAACAACCTAGACCAAAGTAATGAAGAGGACATTGAGCCATTGCTGCAGGATAGCAGTGTATGAAGGTTAAATTCTGAGGGGATATGGAAGAAATTAATGCACTGAATTGTGCTCTGGAAGCTTGGTGGGAGGGACAGAGCATATTGCCTTTGAGAGGAAGGCAGCTGTGACAGGAGGTCACTTGCTGTATGATACTTGAGGTTGGTGTCATGCTTGCTGGAGTGGTTTTTTAGAACAGCAGGTCACAAACTAGTGTGATTCTACCCAATATTGGACTGCAAATGCTGTGTCAAATTCTGATATTGAGTAGAAACCTGAATATAGAGACGGAATTTTTTTAAAGTTTGAATGTTTAGTTCCCAAAATTGCAAGGTAATGCAAAATAAACAGGTTTGAGCCAGAACAATTTCTGCCATCACTATGATAGGTTGTTTAGCATTTCTTATGCCTTTTTGTTGCATCTATGCCACTTGTAGCCTTTCTAGTATGCGAAACACTGATGTCTTTGTAGTTTTGCTACCTGAAATAGTGGTTATCAATGAAATTCTCAAATATTATTTACTAACAGGAAGTCCAGTAGTTACCAGAAAGGGGTGATGAAATTGAGATGGCAGAATTCTGAATGTGTGTGATAACATGTGACAGTAGTTAACACACAAATGAAGGTCGTACAGAAACCCTAAAACCCACATTATGGAATAATCACTTTTGTGCAGTTAAAGCAAGTCCAGATGGCACCCAAGAACCAGGTTGCATTAATGTTTTGCTTATAAAAAAATTTTAATTTTAAAATGAGTAGTGTCAGAAATATAGACACTTCTCATTGGTGCCAGAGTACTTTACATCAAAATATATATGTACTTACTGCATTTTGTCACTTTATCTGTCATATAAAATACATTTTCCTATTAGTTCCTTTCACCGCTGCCTTAACTGCTTCTTAGTGTTCAGTTATTAATCATATTCAGCCTTCATATCACTGTCTTATCTGCTGAATATCATGGATATATTCATATCATTTTTTTTCTAAAAGATGCTTCAAAGGAGTTATGAATTGTAACAAATATGCTGATTTTAAGAGACATTTTATAAAGAAGACAGAGATTTATATGTATTTTGCTGCAGTGTAAATGGACTATTAAACCTAACTTTGATGAAATACTCTTATGAATGTTTTATATGTACGCAATATATGTAGATATTTGTAAGGAGTTTTAATTTTTCCAGATGGGGTGCTGTGTAAATCATGTATTTATAAATGTAATGAGGGTACAGACAGTTATACAACAGTTACAGTTTTTTAAAAGGATTGTGTATTGACTGAACAAATTTTAAAAATATATATTTTGAAACTTGTTCCATGTTGAGCACAGCTAAGAAACCTTTTGTACCATGTAGGTTGGTTTTTAAGTTAATAAGCTTCCTAATGCATAATAAATATAAATATCAAGCTTTCTAGGTTTCATGAGTAAGTGTGTGTTCTTCCAAGTTCACTGTTGTGCCTTCACTGCTTCAAAACAGAAGTGGGTTTATCCTAGTGTTGGATGACAGTACTCACATTCCTTTTGTGTTGTGTGTGTGTCATCAAGAATGATGAAAAGCATGCTCTGCTTAGAAATTCCTTCGGTACCTGAAGGTATCCACTGGGGTACAGAAGTGGAGAATGAAAGTACAAAAAAACTCATGAGAATAATTTCTGATCTGAACAGTATTGCAGAATTAATATGCTTTTTTCTGAGGATGCTTAGGTGGCTGTTTTTATTTGAATTTCTTGCAGTTCAAACCTGGGTTTTTATGCTGGATAATTTGCTGCAGGCCAGACTGCAGTTGAGTAGGTTTTGCATGATCCCAGCTTAGAATGTCTTAAACTTGATATATGGAATAAAATACAGTATGTTAATGTTACAAGTAGCGTTTGTCAAATTTATTACTGCTTGTAGTATCCCAGCAATGGATCAGATTTTTGAAGTAGAATCTCAGAATCACAGAATGGTTGGAAGGGACCTTTAAAGAGCATGGGACAGGGACATCTTTCACTAGAGCAGGTTGCTCAGAGCCATCCTGTCCAACGCGACCTTGAACACTTCCAGGAATGGGGCATCCCCAGCTTCTCTGGGCAACCTCTGACAGTGCCTCACAACCCTTGCTTTCTTCCCTATGTCCAATCTTAACTCTTTTAATTTTAAAACTGTTACCTGTCACTACATGCCGCCTCCTTTCCTACCAGCCTTTTTTATATATTGAAGGGCTTCAGTATATAAAAAGAGCCTTCTTTTCTGCTGGCTGAACAAGCCCAGCTCTCTCAGTATGTCTTCACAGGAGATGTGCTCCAGTCATTCAGTCATCTTTGTGGCCTCCTCACTCCAACACATCTGTGGTTTCCTGTGCTGGGGAATCCAGAGCTAGATACAAAAAAAAATATTTTAAGCATGCATCCTTACTCTATATAAATTATTATATGTTCTACTCTGCTAATTGAGTACATGATAAAAATGTAAAAAGGTAAGCTATAGATGAGATAAACAATTTTTCAGTTTTCTGTTCCCAGTAGAAAATGAGTAAATGATGTTCAGAAATACATGATGCCTCATTATTTTTAGAAATTTTTGTTCAACACTTTGTTGCAGAGATTCAAATATTTGTTTCTAAGTTCAATTTATCTTGATTTTAAACTTTAGTATCTATTAGTATCTAAAGTAAACTTTAATAACCTGTTTTAATACCTATCATTACTGAAAAAGCTACCTCACAAAGATACTGATCCAAATGGAAAGTGTATCGAAGGTTGTGCTTTCTAAATCATGATGCTCGTTTTTCAGTCCTGCCAAATACTTATGCAAAGGTGTATTAATATTCAGGTTAATATTCAACTAGTGAGTTTCCATTTTCCCTGATGTCAGTTTCAATTAGTTTGCAAATTCAGTTGGATTTGCAAACTAATTGAAAGGTCTTAAATTTTTGTGTTGTTAACAAAGGGATTGAAAAACTCCCTCTGGAAGATTTTTTTAAATGGGTTGGAAAGTTACTTCCCTGTACAACTATACAGATATTAGAGGTTTTATGGGTGACACTTCTGCACTTTTTTTTGTAACAAAATTTAATGATGATGGAAATACTTTCAAACTTCTGTTTTCAAAATGCTCCCTCCATACAATAACTTTATTTTAAACATAAAAATTTCCTTGCTCATTATTAGAACAACATCTTTAAGAGACATGTTAAATGCTTTTATTTTTCAAAAATACTGGCTTAGTACTGGCAGGCTCTTTTCATCACAGAAAAGGTCGGGAGATGCTGAACAACGGGTTTTCGTTCTGTGAAACAAAAATGTAAGTTTAGCATGGGATAACCAGTAAACCCCTGTAGTATAAAAGACTTCTGCTTCCAAAGATTCTAGTATTTAAAGGTCTTGTTTTTATAAAATTAACCACATTTATGCACTGATAACAATGTAGGACCTTGTGTGCTTTTTTTCCAGTTTATTTGCTGCACTAGCTTGCCCATGAGTGATCCAGTGAATGAATTTCACTCTTGCTGTAACCTTATCTTTAGATCCCTTTTTTATTCTGTTCAAAGCAGCCACTTCATCAGTGGTTACCCTGGTACAGGTTTTTCACAAAACAGAATTTTTAATAAAGAAACGGTTTACTGTTGAGAATTGCATCTTTTTGTTAGGGATTGACAAAAAAGTTGCTCTTTATGTACTTCATCATGTTAAAAAATCTAGCAAGTACCATTAACTGAGACAGGTTAGGAACACTTGTGGTTTCAAATCTCCCACAACACATAGCTTGTTCGAGTATTTGTTTCTTCAAACCTTCAGCAATGTTTTCTGTGAAATTTGTGAAATACTGTGTTGAATATCACAGTACTTTAAACATTGTTGAAAAAACTTTAAAAGGTTCTTCATGTTGTGGATGGCTAGTTTGTAAATGCTCTTAGTGCTTGTGGCTCCATACTCTTGTTAGCTGATGCCTAAAGGTACAATATACACCCAAAAGGGTTCATTGTTAGCAATAACACTTGTAAAATTGTATTTCAAATACTTGATAGTTTTCAATTTTTTTGGCCAACTAACTACATTGTCAGTGATATTACCATGCAAAGTGGTTGATGAAGGATTTGGACTAGGAGCAGAAGTAGCTCCTCTGCTACTTGTCTGTTTATGCTTGTATCTTTTGTGTTAACTTCCATCTGCAGGGTTTTTTTCCCAAAAACTTTTTGAGAGACGACATCATTTTGTGAGGGTTAGTTTAGTTCCAAATATGTAATATAGTCCACAGATCCACTTAACTGGGCACATGTAAATGTCAATATGTGAATACACTGAAAGTGAAAGAATGAGCGAGGGCATCACAGTCAACTCCCTTTTGCATTGTGAAGCACCCACTTTTCCTCAAGGGTACCTTTTGTGCTGTCTACCTCCCAGGTGAGCGTACAGTGTCAAGACATGTATTAGTAAAGTTGTAATTCTTAATGGTTTTAGGTTGTATACATACTTTTATTTTAGGTGAAAAATCAACAATAACTAATACTTTCCTCCTTGTACTCCAGAGGTGCTTAACCTGCAGGTAGGAGACCATTGCTCCAGAGCATGTTTTACTGCAATGCAAGAGCATGCAGAAAGAGTAAGACACTGCCTCACTTCTTCAGGGTGGTAATGGGCATGGTTCTTTGGGGGATCTGCTGGTCTCTGTTTGTGTTGAGCTGTTCTGATCCAGAGAAACAAAGTTCTAGTTGTTTTGATACAATTTACCTCTCTTGTTTTTTTAAATTTTATTTTTTCAGAAGAAATCAAGCAGCATCTTCCCCTCACACCAAAAAAAAAAGCAGGGAAAGACATGATGAATAACAGTACAAAGATGTGAAAAACTATATTTGGAATACTTCTTTCCTTCTCTCCTCAGAGATTTTACTGTGCTGTGTACATGCATGCATCATGAAAATATGATGCTACTGTATTTTGATTACAATGTAATAGAAGATCATAACAAAACCTGTGATAAATAAACCTGTGACTTAGATTGTTTTAACAAGCATGTTAAGCTATCTGTTATATATACTAGCATTAATATGTCCCCTAACAAGATGAGAATTTGATTTAAAATGTTGTTTAAAAATTTTGGTCATACTTTTCTGTTGTCCAAAAGCTTTCACTTAGAGGACCTTCCAAACTCAGTTGGCTAACCTGAGACACTCCTAGTCAACCTGAAAAAGCTGGTGAACCAGGATGAGTAGGTCAGCATAATAGCCTGTTTTTTTATGTGATTGAGGAAACTGAGTATGACTTCTAGTCCTCTGTTTAGTGGCATGCTGTCTCATGGGTTCCATCTCAGGGGCTTGGTGGTGAGATTGATCTAGGAGTAAAATCTTGAATCCAGCATGTGTAAAGAACTAAATTAAATCAGCTTTTTTATTTCCTAGACAATTTCTCTTGAGCTAGTCTTACAGAATAGAACGTGCTGTTTGTCTTCTCCCATTGCCTAAAAAGAATAGTCTTGCTCTGTTTTCTAAAGGAACACTGCAGTAAGAGAATGGAAGATGATGGGCAAGGTTCAGGGTACAGTCCCAGGCTAGCACTGCTGCTCTGCTGCCCTTGCAGTCTGTTTTAAGTTGCTATAAAAGTGCCTGTATGTATTGCATTTTCAGCACTAGCACCTTAAAGCAAAAGTGTTAAAATTCTTCCTTAATTTGAAAGTAAATGCTGCATCACCAGCTAAATCTCTGAGAAGTACAGAGCTGCATGATTTAAGTGCAATCGACCGCATTACGTGTTAGCAGTTTGGAAGTCAATATTTTTTATAGTCCTTTTTTTCTGTTGACATGAAAAAATGGCCACTTCTGATTGCATACTCCAGTGAGAACTTTGGCCTATGGATTTTAGAAAATTGCTTGTATCTGAAGTGTCCCATAACTGATGCCTGATGTATACCTTAATGCTTATGTGTGAATATAATTGTGTAAGAAACAGACTGTAAAGAAAAGTGTGCTGCTAGCTCTGCTCATCTGAATGTAGGCAAAAAGCTGCTCAGCAGGACCTTATTTAATGATGATGTAAGAAAAACTGGCAGTGAATAACAGGCAGGCAACATCATTCATGACAGATTATTTTTCTACACATCTGGAGAGTGTTATCTTGAAAACTTTGCAGTGGTTATATTGTTTTGTCCAGAAAATCTGTTTTATAGGAAGTTTTTCTCCTATACGCATTTTTTCCCCTTCTCCTCCTCCAGTTTTGATGAAGAGTATTTTTAAGCATGTTTTACACTTTGCAGCAAAATACTGCAGTCTTTTCTGAAAGTCCTAATGAGTTCTCTTTTCTAAGAGAAACTTAATCGTATATGGGGGTATCTGCTTTATCATATGCAGATACCATTTTTGATAACTTGATGCCATTTCTCAGTGCAGTGATTCCTCTGAAAAGCAGTGAAGGGGGAAAAAAACCAAAACATGACAAAATTGTTCTAGTAACAGACTGAAGTGTTAAGCACTGAAGAAGAAAATTAAACATGCAGGTCTAAGCATCCTTTCATGTTGCTTAAAGCCCAACAGGAGCTTTTTCTTGCTGTCTTACTTTTTTATGCCTGCATAATAAAATATATTTTTTCATCATTGGTGTCATCTCTAACTGGCTTATAAATAGCTGAAACATCAAACTTGCCCAGTTACCTAGTCGTAGTATGCTTTGTGCTCATGCTTTAATGCATTGGGAATGTTAATTCAATGCAGCTAGTGGTTTCAGAAAATTTGAAACATGTATTTAAGTAGAATAGTAGCATATTTTAAGTAAAATATTTAAAGATATATTCAAAAGGTGTACATTATATAATTTTTAACACTGGAAGAAAAATAAAACTGAAAAGGAAGATTAAGAAATAGAAATATTCACTAGACTCTGCCACCTA